AAAAGTACTTATGCAAGTACGTACCTACATAATATGATTAACTACTTAATTAGTACTTTGATAAAAAGTTCTATTAATTAACATGCTTCCTGATAAACCATGCAACTCCAAACATACCCTTAATAAGAATTGGCATGATTTTCTTCCCTTGCGTAAGCATTTTCTCGAAGAGAAAACTGCATTTGGAAGTAAGTTTGGAGCATGTCCCGGCGTAGTGCTAAATTGAAGTGGGGCGGATGTTCTCTTGTTCGCCATCAAATTAGTCAATTGCAGTGAACACAACCCCTTCAGAAATTTGGGCCGGCTGTGCTCATCGAAGGTTTTGAATTGGGTTTCGTGTCTTCCTCCTCCATGAGTGGTTAGATAGGAGATTATTCTAAGAGAAAGATTAGGAATAAGACGTCATAATATAATGATACGAAATATATGAAATAAAAATGTGATTCGTATTATAAAAAATTGCTTAGAAAATATATTTAAGATGCAAAAAAAATGATATTTGCAAAAAATTGGATATCCAAACACAATACTTCAAGTGTCAACCATAGAGATATTAATTAAGTAATCGTGAGATCCTTAATTCCATCCTCATACCTTCCATAATCTTCGTTTCCTTTGCAAGACTTAGAACCATCCTTGAACAAATGTCAAAAAAATAAAAAGTACAAAAATATTTTAATAAGGGTTCTTCAATGTTTCAAGACCTAACTCAACTAATATGGGATATTAGTTTCTTGGTTAAGTAAGAAAGCTTCCACGTAAACAAAATATTATAGAAATACCTTTTCCTTTTGATATTCAATGGGAAGGAGAAAAGATAGACATTATGTAAATTGTGGTGACACTAAAACTCTTTGAATTGTACATTTGGACTTTGTGTTAAAAATAGCACTCATAATAATTCTTTGAGATGTAATGTATGTTAAGTAAAAGATGAATTAAAACTTTATGAAAAAAATATTCATTTAAAAACTCAAAATTATTCATGAAACTAACAATTCAACTCTTGTAATTTGTGTTTGATAGTGGTTAATTTTATAAAGAAAGCATCTCATAAATTTGTAAAGAAAACATTGGTGAATTATAAAGAAAGAAAATCCAACAATAAAAAAAGAAAATTGCAATTCAACTGCGTTTTGTGAGGACCTAGTCCGTTCGTACGTTGAGATTAGGGTTATTCATTATTTTGTACGGTTAAATTAAGGTTTTAGGGCTAAGGAGAAACCCTAATCTCGGCCAAGATTGAAAACCCTAACTTTGCTTATGATAAAACCCTAGTTTCTGCGGTATTCTAGTGTGTGTTTTGGCACAAGTAAAAATAAGATTTGTTATAGTTTACAGAGGTTTAACAAGTTTGAAAATGGTTAGTAAACTCTGGATTAGTAAACCTCTAGTGTTACAATATTAGAAAGCTTAAGAGGAGTTTTGTTTATCGCCCGCCTTTTCTACATTTTCTTTATTAGAAAAATTCCCCAGATAATTTTTATGAGTAAATATAGATTTTAAATGATTTTTCTAGTATCGGTTAGTTTTTGCGAAATTAAGAACGTACATCGGATGTGGGACCCACTAGTGCGAAAAGTTCGGAAAAATTCGGCCAACTAGGTTAAGTTTTGGATATTGGATTTCATTTACCAGGTGTTATGAGATAATTGAAGGTTGTTATATGGATGAGAGTGGAGAGAGACAAAGTGATAGAGATGCATTAAATAAGGTGACAAGTGTCACCATAAGATTAACTCTTACAATTTGACTTACTATTCATACTTTTACCATTTTGCTTAAATATCTCAAAAATTTGACCCAAAAATTATCAAAAATTCCTCCATAAGAGCCGCCCCTCTCTTCTTCTCTTCCTCTCTCTCTTACTCCAAGCACAAGGAAGAAACACTTCAATCTTGTTCCAAATCATCAAAACCAACCATCCAACCTTGATTTTGCTCCATAAAACACCTTCAAGTGGTGGTTATGAGTTGTTTTGTGGATTTGTTTGGAAAGTTAAGGTGGTCAATAGCTCTCTCTCTTGTTCTTAAGGTAAGTTGTGAAGAACCACCTTCTTCCTTTAATTGATGCTTAAATCATACTTAGTGGTAGCATAAGATGCAAAGTTATGGTTTATTTCTTGATTTGTGGTTGTAGTGATGAAGTTTTATTATTTTTGGGAATTTTCTGTTTTAATATAAGCATGATGGTATGGTTATCTATGATAATGGGAAATGGTATATAATAACTCTAGGAGGTGGAACAAGTGATTAATTGCACCCAATTTCTGATTTGGAAGGAATTTGAGAAAATTAGGGTTTTATATCCCCAATTCTGTCCGATTTTGTATCTCATGGTTAGAGGCCGAATTGGCCTTGGCTTAAAACATGAAAGTTGTAGGTAATGATGTTTTAAAAGTGCCTGCAAATTTCAGGTCCATCGGAGTAGTGTAGAGTGAGATAACTCGAAATTACTATTGCTGTTCTGGTTTACCCAGAATTGGAAAACTGTGATTGTAATTGGTTGTTTTGGCTAGGAATGCTTCCGAATTGATTGTTGTGGTCTTCTGATGAAATGTAGCCCTGTTTCTAAGCTTTCATATGACTTTGGAATTTCTGGATTTAGACTTGTGTAGGCTAAGTTATGATGTTTACGCTAGACTGCATTTTGTGAACCTGTTTGCGGTTCTGGGATTTTGTACTGCATTTTGACCTAGTTATACTCGAAACTAGATTGAGTGGTCTTCTTCAACATTGTAGCCCCTTGAGTCCTGAATATACCTGTAAAATCTCAGGTCAAATGGATTAGTGTACTCTGAGTTATGGACAAAAACCTCAGGCCTGTTGTTTTAGACATTACTTGGTGTACGTTTGGAATTTCAGCTTCTGACCGTGGGTTTTTCCGTTTTGATACCTTGCGAATTGGGTGCTGATCCCTTCATAAGAAATTTAGATCGTGGTCTCAGCTTTGAAATGGTATAGAGTGCGTCGAAATCCAAGTTCCGTAGCTCCTGTTATGACCGAAATAAAAGTGATCGTCAGAACTGCCTTGTATCTGGACAGTTCTGACGGGTACTTTGGCACTCGATTTTCGTTCTGTTTTGAGTGGATTCAGGTCTTGGCCAAAACATCAAAGTTTTACCTTATGTCTCAGCTTTCTAATGCCTTTGGAATTTTCTGATTTGGAGTTGTGAGCTGGGAGTTATGGTCTAGCAAAAACCCTGTTCGTCACCCTAAGACGTAAACTTCTGGTACCGTCTTCCACGATTTCGGCCTGCTTTGATTCAGATCTAGATTAAGGTGTCTTCATGAAAATTGTAGCTCTATCTCATAGCTTCGAAACGGTATCTTGTTCACTTTGATCCAACATTTTTAGCCTAACTTTTGACCAAAACGGTTTGAGATGGCAGATTTGGCCGTCCCGTTTGCCGTTCCGCGCATACGCGTGTGCCCCTTTTTGCCGTTTCTGCACTTGCGCGTGCCAATTTTGTCGTTCGGCTTGTTTTAAGTACGTTAGTGGCCGTTTGTGATATATTATGACACAATCTTCTATTTCAGACAGTGGTGAGTTAGGCGGAGCCGGTGGGGCTCACTACTAGCGAAACATGCGCGAAGCAATTTTGCTTTTGTACTACTTTTGTATTTTGAGTAAGTATTCAGGCCGCTTTTATGTGTTAGTTGCTTATGTGTTTCGACATGTATGAAGAGGGTACTTAGGCGAGGGTGTACTTTATCGCACTCGCTCTAAACCCGAATTTACGCTCATATTTGTACATGACATATGTATGTGAATCATTTTGGAACTAAAACCCTTGAGCTTGTGGCTCGGGGTGATTTTGAATAATTTTGTGAAGTTTGTGAGTTTGGGGCGAGCTCTTGACCTAGATGGACTATTCGAGCCGGTTAGGGCTTGGTCGAAGTCAGTCCAACCTGGTTGGAGGTCACCAAGTTTGTGAATCCGGTTCACCGAGTATGTGGACCAAGTTTGTGACCCGAGCTTGTGACTCAAGCTCAAGTTTGTGATTTCGTTCGCCCGGGCAAATTTGTGAGGTGACTGGCCAGTGAGGGTGATAAGGTGTCGGTGGGTGTACAAGTGAAGTTCTACGGACCATTAAGTGTGGTCGACGGAGTGTCGGCAGGAGATCACGCATGGCATACGAATTGGTTTTGGAGCCACCTGTATCCTTATTATGTGATGTTATTTTTCTGCTTTTGCTTTACTCTTACTATGTCACTGTTGTTACGTGAAATTTACGCTTTTGCCCCTGTTTACTTACTAAGCATATAGCTTACCTCATTGCTTTTGTTTTCCTTAGCAGGGGCCGACGCGGGGACTTTTGGCTCGTACACTAGTATAGTTAGATTGACTTGTATTAGTTGAACAGTTAGAATGTTTGTTTTTGTTTTTGTGGTTTGTATAAGAACCCTTCTTAGGGTCTATCTTCTGCTGGTGGTGGTTATAGTGTATTAGAGTGGTTTGACTCGAGACTTTTGAAGATGTAAATATAACTTTTGGGATTGTATATATTGTATATAGTGATCTTTCGATTTATCTAGTTTTATTGCGTTAAGTTTTGAGTCCTGGCGCGAGTTAGGCAGGCGGCCCGCCGATACCCTTGGGTTCGCCCTTAGGAAAAGCGGGGTCGTCACACGTTTGTATTGAAAATTTTGACAAAAAATTTGAAATCCTCCCAAATCTTTCTAATTGTTTATTTAAGAAGACATTTAAATTTATAAATCACAAATTATTGTCAGGTTCAAAGCGTGTTTTGATTTTTGATAATGGATGAATTATAAATTTAAATAGCTTTTAAGCAATATTTATGTGAATTTCCTTGGTCAAATTCCTCATCCAATTGAATTTATTTCCAATATTTATGTGCCTCTATCTCTATCTTACCACAATTATGCAACCTATATGAAAAAAAAAAAAGAATTATAAAGATAATAAATTTTAAAATTAGATTACTTTGGATATATATTTTAAAAGAAGAGTTATTTTGGCAATAAACTACAGCTATTAGTGCCCAATGGAAGCAAGATCAAGAAGCTAAGAAACAAAATGATGATTGCTTCTACTTCTTTCACTGCCACCTCCACTGCTAAACTTCTTCATTCTTCTTCTGCAACCCGCAATTCTAACCCTTTTCTTGGATTCACACACAAGACGCCTACCAAACAGTCCTCTTCTCCGCCTCGCCGTGTCCTCCACCTGGTTCTCACGGCTTCAATTTCAAGATCATCACCACCAGCAGCTCCACCACCATCGCAACCCAAAACAAGCATGGCTAGTGAAACTGTTCCCTCCCCTTCAATGAAGCTGTTGTTCGTTGAAATGGGTGTTGGATATGATCAACATGGGTACTTTCTATTCTTTTTCAATCCCCTTACCACCTTTTTGTTTCGATATTCAATCTTTTTCGATATCTGAGTTTTTTTTCAAGTGTTAAAGAAATTGGGAAGTGGATATATAGAATAACTGTGGTTCTCCATACGTTGTCATGTGGAATTGATACTTTCTTGGGAGTCGTATGTGTATGGGAAATTGATGGAGAAGGAGAGGGAAGAGTGAAAAATGAGTGAGGGAATATGGGGAGAAAAAGAATAAAGAGTCAAATAAGCGGAAGAAGAGAGAGAGCAGAAACAGGAAAGGAAGAAGAAAGCGATCTCTGAGAGATTTGACTTTAAAGTCGACCTCTATGACATTAAAACTTTAGAGGGGATTTTTCACAAATTTTCCTGGTTTGGGAATAACAAATTAAAACTAGAAATAATATATTGTTTTCAAAATTTCAACACAAGTTTCAAAATTCAAGTATATAGCCCATTGCATAAAAGCGGGATTTTGGATGTAGTTTTAGCTGAAATTAGAGAATGGAAAGGTAAGACGTAGCTTGCTAGTGATTTCTTAAGAATACAAAGAGATGGGACTTTGGCCTGAGCCCTATTATACAGAGCAGTTTGTTTGCTGTATGTTTTTTCGTTAAAACAAAAAAAGGATCTTGGATTAAGCATATTGGAAATGAGTGAATGAACAGGCAGGTCAATAGTTTAGATGAATTTCGTGGATTTTGGACTGGACCATATGATATGCAGTAATAAGCTAATGTGCATGTTGGTTTGAGTAGAATGGGATTTTGGACTGAATCCAGTTTAAACAAATGGATGAACAGGCAAGATATTACTTCAGCTGCCATGCGAGCTTGTAGGGATGCTATCTCTTCCAACTCCATTCCTGCCTTCAGGAGAGGTAATTGTCACCTTGTTATTATTAACTAAAGTGTTAATCTGTTCATAAGTTTCTGATGATTTATTCATCTATTATTATGTATGGAAGCAATATATGCAACTATCTGAAAATTACAAGGTCATATGTGAACACTTTTTGTTGTGCTTATTGATCGAGGAATAATTGTTGGTTTTCATTGCTCCAACTTAATTTATGAATTCACATGTGGGGTTGGATTTACTGCTTCATTATTCAGAAAGAATGTATGCCTGATTACCCCAGAATGCTAGCAATTCAAGTAGAACATCTTTGAACTTAGAAAGAAACATAACTAGAATACTTCCCCTACCTTTTCTTGAGTGTCTTTGCGATTTGGAGATCGAGGCTTGTTGCTGCAGGGACTAAGATATGAATGAGGGTCCTCTGGCCATTTATTCTTTAACTCAAAGCCAATGTTTTGATAATTGTTAGCCAGAGGGACTGCCTATATTTGTTTCTGGCTCTTAATCTTGGATACTATGCATCCTATAACATTTTAAGATGAAATATTCTTATCTGAATCTGGAATTTTAGTCTGCTTGCTACCAAATTGCAGAGTCCACTCAGACTCTGAGCAGATAGAAGTATTTCATTGGAATAACTAGGGTGAAAACGTTTCAAGAGTCAAACATTTCTTAGAAGATGCCTTCTGCCTTTCTCACTGAACTGAGCACTGTAGCTTCCCTTTTTCTCTGAACAACTAGGATATTATTACCTATCAATGCCCAATTTAAGACCATCAATTGCCAAACTTGTTTTCATGCTCGCTTTCTGTTTCCTATCCTCACCCCCAGTGCTGTTTGTCCTCTTTTGATAAGCAAGCTTGGGTTTCAAGGTACCTTTTAACTGCTTCAAAAACGATAGTGTCTTTTATTTAGATACCATGAGTAACAAGCACATATTCAGTTGTACTGTGATTTCTATTACTCGGCTTTCTTCGTGATGTATGTATTGATTATAATAGTATTCTTATCATAAACAGCTGACTTAACCATGCATTCCTTCTTTACCACGATTAGATATCTTGATGGCGCTGCACATTCCTTGTGTAATGTGTTGAAAGACTAGAAAGGTCAGGATTCATTGGCTGAACCTCTATTGTTGTTTGAAAGAAGAAACAAGGTATAGACAAAAGGATAGAGAATAGAACATCAAAGCAGTAGCTCAGATGTTCCGTGCAGGTTTTTGAATTCTGAAATCTATGTTGGTTTTTTTCAAATCTTTGGTTCCTCAATTGTCTTGGTTGTACAATTGGGTTTTTCTAGTTGCTGCCAATTAGAATGAGTAATTGAAACATGTATTTGAACCCTTTGTTGTTTTTAAAGTTAAGCAGAACATTTGATTCAGCTTTTGTCATAGCTTTGCGTGTGCAAATCTTGAGATGCAAACCATTTTGCGGCAACCTTGTGCTTGCACGGATACCTTTCTATATTTATCTGTTTATAAAGAAAAAATCCTATATTTGATTCTCTTCTCTCTCTCAAATTTGAAGCTTGCACTCTTTGATTATTAACTTTAGAAACTGTTGGTATCTATTTGTGCCAGCCAGAAGCTCTATGCTGAGCCATATTAAGAATATTCAAAGAGAAAAAATTAACAATGTGAAGAAAATGTAATTCTGCATTTATGACAACAAGGAAATGCACTTCAAATATTTTAGTTGCAAACGGTTTGCTTTGTCTAGGTCAAACTATGGCTTGTTTTTTTCTCCTAATTTGGATATTCTGTTGTTGGTCTTTTTTTAGTGCGGCATTATGTTGTCATTTGTAAGCCTTTAAATTGAATGTTTATTGTTGTAAGTAGTAACTTATGTAGTAGAATGCTTTGCTTATTGCAGGTTCTATACCTGGTGTTTCATTTAATGAGATGAAACTACAGATCAAATTGGGAGTTCCTCGACCTCTCCAGAATTCCCTGGAAATTGAGAAAGTCAAGTCTGTTTTCCCTTAGTGAGTATAATGCACTCTTTTCAGTACTGTGTATAAACCCAACCTTCTGATTCTCAAATACGTATTGGAGCTTAGCATAATTTCTTTATGAAGTTTGCATCAGATTCTTATCGCTGAGGTACTGTCATGTTGTCCATTTCTGTCTTAGGTTATTCTTAACTTGTAATTAAGATATCCTAGATAAATCCCATTATATGTCAATTTTGCTGATATATCAAGCTGTGTGTCTATTGTTCTTCTTGTTGTATGGCATTCTCTTATAGTTTTTAGTAACAATGATGCATAATTAACAAAAGTATTACCATCTTTTCAAAGAAAAAGTTCTTTTTGTCCTGGAGTTTTCTCAAGAATACAGGGTCTTATATAGAAGCTTCTTTCTATTTCCCAACTTTTCGGTAACTCTGAAAGTGTTAGATTTCATGTTGTTACTTTTCTTCTTTCTCCTTATTGTTGTTACTGGGGGTTGGTTTTCAGCTCGAGAAGGACAGTAGGTGGGGGGAAGGGGAACTGGGAGAAAATTCAACCTTTTCTTTTAATTGCCTCAAAAAATGTTCTTTCTCTGCGACTCATGGCTGTCTTTTTGTCTCTTTGACAGTGGAAGCATCTTGAGCGTTGAAGTCGTGGATGGTGGGCTGATATGCTCAAGTGGTGTGCACGTAGAAGAAATGGGTGATAAGAATGATGACTGCTACATTGTGAATGCTGCTGTTTACGTTGGCTATTGAGTTGTTTTCGTGACTGTCTAAAGATGTCAGCTTTATCCCTTTGTCCTCATTACCAAGTATATCACTTTCACCTTGATGGCTTACCAGAACTGCGTAGGATAGATGGTTCTTTTTCCAGATAACGTAATAGGCACAAAATGATTCAAAATAGTGGATTTGTTTGTTTTTTCTTGCTGACTCACACAGAGATGTGTGTGGACAAACACGACATGTCTGTCTTGCTTAGATTTGCTAATATGCCTTTGTTTGTTGTGGTTGTGTTGCTTGTCTTTTTATAGACCTTGAGATGTTTGAATTTTACCACATGTTGTCTGAGATTGATAAATATGCCGATACCAATGATGCTGTTTTTCGTGATGTCTTCTCTGGCATTTTCTGCATGTCAAACTACCGACACGGCTACCGCTACCGCCACCGCCACCGCTACCACCACCGCTACCTACCGCCTCCGCCACCGCTGCTGCATCCAGCATGACAAAAACAGCATTTCTTGCTGCTATGATCTGCCGATCCCGCTACCGCCACCGCATCTAGCATGACAAAAATAGTATTCTTTGCTGACTTGCTGCTATGATCCGCCGATCCCAATGCATGCTAAAAGCAAGACTTGAGGGAGTAAGGGCAAAAGAAGATGAGGATCAGAATTTTCTCATATGCCGACATCATGATTGGGGTCATCTCTACCTGGTTGCTTGCATTTGTGTTACTAACACGTGAAAGATACTTGATCATGAGGTGTATACAGGATTAAGTTTTTGTACTCTCTTTTGTCTCTACTTTTCCGGTTGAGACAGATTTCTCTTTGCCAAAGTCCGCCAATTGGTTACCTTTGCACGTCCTGAGCCTTTATCTTTGCTTTTCTTTTCTCGTTTGGTAGTAGAATTTGAGCTATAATTATGAGGGGCCTAACGAATTACTCGTATCTTTGACTGACTTTACATGGTAAATGAAATGTCAGTAGTTGAGAGGTTGTGTTGGTGCTTGCTATACTGAGACGCTATCTTGAGACAGCCCATTTTTCTTCTCTGGTTTTCACTCTCTGCAGCATGCATCCACCTACCGTATTGCTCTTAATGAAGAATCTCTTGTTTAATTGAATTGCCGAGCAACTTGGCTTTGTGAAAAAGGAATGTTGTTGTTCACTTGAGGCATGGGCTAAGAACAGAATAGAGGTGCAAATAACAAATAGACTGCATTCTTGGCTGTACTTGTACAAGTATTCAAGCGTGAGTTGATTCCTAACGGAAGCAGCCTTGTATATGTTTACATTTGTAATTCCAAAAGCATGATTTTCTCTGTCTTATTCCTTTCTACGTAGATTTAATGATAGGACAAGTAAATCTGCAGCCTTGATTGTTTCCACGAATACAGGTCATGCAGATCATTCCTGCGAGAGCTAAAGCAAAGCATAGAGGAGCTGGTTCCAAGTATCAGGCACCCCAGGAAGGCACCAATGGCTGCAGTCATTACCCGATTTCGAACCACCGTAACCCGACGGATGAGCATCTTTTCTCAGTTGTGAGAGTGTTGTAATATCAAGCAGCACAACTGGTTTCTGCATGCTGCTTAGGGTCTTTTTAACCACGTCCACAGCCGGGGGTAATCCTGCTGGATATCTTGACCCTTGTAGTGGCTCTTGCTCTCCATAGCAACTCTTGGAATCTGAACCCCACTCCTTGCCACTGTTTTACGGTAAAAAGAAAGTAGACTTAGTTTCCAGAGATGGATTTTTCTAGCCGGAGGTTCATCTGTTACTTACTCGTAATGTGAGGGAGAGATCCCCTGGAAAAAGACCTTGGTCTTAGAAGAGTCGACATTCTGATTAACCCATTGTGCCCAAGTCGACAAGCCTTTGGAAAATGCCACTAGACGGTCCATATCTTTCGAGACAGTGGAACCATCTTGCACATAATCCCATCTGCAAAAAGCACAAAATATGATAATCATGTGAAAAAGTACATCTTTCTTTCTTTTCTGGCCAAAAGAGGATTCCCCCGCTTGAGCCCATCTACATGAATTGATACTTTTAAGGGAAGATGGAGTAAAAATGGAATGCCTCAAAGTTACAGAAAATGGAATATGCTGATTCTTACGGCTGAGAATCTCCCCTATGGAGCCACCAATGCCAGGTGTTGAAAACCAAAGCATCCATTCCTTTCCATGCATCATTGCCTCGATCAATGGAGTCCAATTTCAGTACCCGGCCAATATTTTCTTGTGCTATATCCACCAAGTATGTTGAATGGTAAAGATAGATGGTTACATCATAGTCCTACAAGACATTGTCAATAAAATTAGACCAACATTTTAATCAGATGTGCAGTAATTTGTGAGCTATTGGATAAACAACTTGGTAGCAGCAGTATCAAGTGCCATGAGAGATGGAATTTTTTTCATAGAATTGAAGAAACATAATCCTTTGTAATGGTGCAAACTGAAGAAAGAGCTTACGTAGTAGTCATAATGTTGGCTGTACATTGAATTTATCAAGTATAGGAAATGGTAAAACACAACAAAATTGTACCAAATGTTTGTTCCCGACAACTAGTAAAGCCAAACGTTTAGGCTTTAGCAAAGATACGAAAACGCCACCCCGTTTTGGATGTTTCAGAGGAATAATTGGCCTCTCCCAAGAAAAACAACAAAAGGGAATAAAAAAAAAAAGAATAAAAGAGAACTACATATAATAATTACCTGAAAAGTCGCATAAGAGAGGATCTCCTTCCTCACAAGATTGGTGTTAGCACTTGGCACCGACGCATGAATCAAACACAGGAAAGATTGCCACTGGTTCAAGCTCAAAGAATCTCCGACAAACATTATCTTCTTCCCTTTCCACCTCTTCAAAAAGTCCAAGCCATCAAACCTTTTGACCCAAAAAAGAGAAAAAAAAAATATGTAAACAATCATTGAAAATTTAAAAAAGAAAATTGCGTAGAATCTTTAATTCTTGGCTTTGAATACAAGTGAAAAGGGAAGGTGCATTCGATACCTGGGCAAGTTGCAAGAGTCAGGTTTCCAAGCATACTTGAGGTACTGTTTGTCTGGGCGGCCATATTTTTGGCAATCAAATTCATAGTCAATGAAGGGACATCCTGAGGATTCATAAGGAGGAAAAGAGCTATCGACGACCCATTTTCCTTGGAACAAGTTGCATCCACCGCCCAGGTGTCGACCTCTGTATCCAGTCACATTATAATGCACTGTCTCAACTGATGATGAGTTTGCATGCTGCACTGCAAATAACACAATAGCAGAAGCAAACAACAGTATTGATTGATGAAAAACAACCATGGTTCACGGGTTCTTGTACCAAAAATCCCTCTTGGATTTCGGTACCCAAAAGTTCAAAAGGTAGAGACGAAATTGTAAAGGCTAACAAGCTGTACTCTCTTTTTTGTAGTATTTTTCTTTTTGGCAATGAGCAAGATGTCCTCTTGACCAGGCAAGGGGGGATATATTTATCTCTGCGTACGATAAGAAACGGACAGGTACATAAGCAATGGTGAGGTTGGGAATTTGGAGGTTTTTGGTTCGGGGTATCAGACGGTCAAGAGGTGGTAGAAGGCGGATTGATTTCTGTATCTCACGCTTACATGAGTTGGGTTTTTTTGGATTGACTCGGAAAGAGTGTTTATTTATGGTAATAGTGTCAATACTGCTCAAAATCTTGAATCGGCAATTGCAAATATTGTTTATTTATAACTTACCAATATATATATATATGTATATGTATATATATATATGATTAAATTAATTTCTAAATTGAAGTCATGCATGCAATAGAGTATGCTAGTATCTAAGTAGTAAATACAGTTTCATTTGCTTACGAAATAAAAATAGGTAAAGTAAATTACTTTCTAAAAGCCATTCATGCACTCAAATTAGTCGTAAATTTTGTTAAACAAAATAGTAGTTCAAGTTACTTGCTTAAATTCATGCATCTAATTTTTTTTTTTATTACAAGTGAGAGGTTTCGAATTAAGAACTTCTCACTTATACTCACTCCTTTTATATTACCCAACCCACCTCTCCTTCCAAGTCATTCATGTACTTATTCTTATTTTGGTTAATTAATTTTACACCCTTATTTTGTTTTAAACAATACTTTATTTCTCACTTGATCCCTAAGTTAAAATTGGGACGCTTTTTTCCCTGAAATTTTAAATTCAATTTGCTTTAGTCCAACATTAATGAAATATAAAATATTCTAATTTTAGTGCCAAGGATATGGGGAGTAGCTAGAAATTACAATGTCAGTTTTTTTTTTTTTTGTGCATTTTGTTAATGATTGGACTAAAGTGGAACGAGTTTAAAACTTCAGAGAGCAAAATTTTGCAGACTAAATTAAAGGATCAAGTGAAAATTGAGGTGTAATTTAAAGGTACAAAATGAAATTAACCCTTCTTCTTTGTCTTTCTTGAAATAGATCATAATTAATCAGGGAAACATAGAACTATGGGAGGCTTGAGGGGGAAGAGATTTTTCATTATTTCATTTTCTAAGCTACATCTCCCGTACAACTTGGAAATAAAATTCAACGCACAGTCATTAGACAATTAGTCACAGTGGAGGAGTTTAGTATCACGGGGGTAAGTATTTTTTTTTTTTGGGGGATGGATCACGGGTGTAAGTTTGTTAGGGAAATCAGAAACCACTAATGTGGCTTTTCGATTTGACACTTGTTGACTCTGATCTCTGCGTTTGAAAATTTAAACCTACCTCCCGTAATTTATACATTTGTAGGATGCTGCCCCGATAATAAAAAAATTGTACAACACTACTCTTCGTGTCTAAAAACTTAAAAGGGACAAAGTTGTTAATTGAGGAACATTTTTTTGCAATCATCGCCGTTATTGATGAGATTTTGTTCTAATGATTGAAATTAAAACTCAAGAACTTAGATGTCGTAGATTTTAATTTCTCTTTCTTCTCTCTATTTTTAAAATTTCATCTTTTTTCCTGCTAAAAACCTTTTTTCTTTGTAAAAAAAAAAAAAGAAAGCCACCGCCTCCAACCTTACACACACCTCTGCCTCCCTCCCTGGCTTCCCATGATACAAACTTTGTGGCTGATCACCTCCATCATCACTTCTCTAATGTCTCGCACTACCTAAAAATCCAAAGCAAATCTACCCCATCGAACATTCCCACTCCTATGTGATCAAATCTTGCGTGCAACCTATATGATCCTCATTTCCAAAAAAGTTGCCTCCATCTTAAGCCCATCATCACAATTCACCCAAACATACATATCCGGATAGATAAATCCACGATATTGAATTTTCAATGGCGCATTTTCCTCTGAAGATGATAGTGAATGGGAAATCACTGTCACTACAGGACCATGATAGCATAAGCACGTTTGGAATTGGAAGAACTAATCTGCACACTCCAAGAGGTCATCACTGATCATCCACCCCTTCATGGAATTCAGACGAACCAAACAAACATCAAATGACTGAGAAATGGATGCATGCCTCGATATATTGTCGTCGATGTCTTCTTGTGTCCCTCCAAGTGCAAACCACCTCTAATTAAACTCATTCTTGGCATTCTCCGTTTCATGGCAACTTAGTGGTTTTTGCTATGGGGCCTGCTGTGGTCCTCCTCTCTTTTAGACGTACATGTATTAGCCGCATTCTAGAGTAGAATAGAAGTCACATGATTAAGAAATGGTGGTTGCTCGAGGAGGGTTGTCAAAAAATGAGTGGATTCGGTTGTCAAAAAATGAGTGGATTAGAAGGCTCAACACTTTGCTGCTTGATACCTTTAGTTTTGATTTGATTGTCCTCAACAATACTGGATTAATATAGCAAGTGGATCTTGAAGTTTCTTATTGAATAGAAA